TATTCATTGAGACCTCCTGTTTTCACGATTACATCTCTTCAAAATTATTGTTTTCTGATTTAGAGAATTTCCTATAGAGGGAATAAGCTATTACCGTTGGTATCATGGTAATACCTAGACCCAGGACCGATTTACTTTTTCGTTTTGAGGTTCCTATAGACCAAAAACACCATTTGTTCAAGTTAGCACGATAACTCGAGCAAAAATTATCTAATTTCGATGAAATTTGGTACAAACGTGTAAACCTACATTTATTCAAATAAGTTCGCTAATCAGCATGATCGGACTAATTTTAGTAAAAATTGTCAGGTAAATGGAAATTCGCTTAGTCTGCATGTTTGCTGCGGCGGGGGTATTTTAATATCTTGGTGGTGTATTAGGCTTATTTGTTATGCTTTGAATTGAATGTTTATAAGTGCACTATACTTAGCAGCACTTCTAGTGTAAGCATAAAAGGAATTCAAATCAATTCCTTATCAGAAAAGTCTCCCAATTCGACATTGGTTCCGTTGATGTATTCTCATAGAAAAAAGTTATAAATTACTGTATACAATTTTTTTTTCCAAGATATTTTGAAATATAAAAAAAATATCATAAGTGTGGGGAAATACAGCTTGTAAATTTTAGTAGTAATAGGATATGATATTTTTACTGACTTTGATCGGTGCGAGAAAACTTGTGGGAGGGGAGTTTTATCATCATTAAAATGATAAAATAACATTCCATAACTTCCCTACCTTAGTTTTATGGCCGTCCACAGCCATTGAACAGTCTGACATTTACCATGTGGCCCTTCCCCCCTTCGCCACCCCTTCACCCACCCCAACCCTTCTCCCGTGACAATTTGGGTTCGATATATCAGCCGTTTATATCACCCCTCCTACCTTAAGTCATATTCAAATTGTTTTCACCTATGTTACAATTCCATTACGTTTATCATGATCTATTATACAGGGTGAATTTTAAATGAGTTCCCCCCCCTACTTTTTTCTACATTTCTTAAGATATCAACTTCGGACCACGTCAGATCATTGTAGTGTAGTAAGTACTTCGTTTTGACTGGGTAAACATTTTTGGCCGCCATCTTGGATCCGCCATATTCGCCATATTGGATACAAAATTTATTTTTCAAATGTAAAGGTAGGGTTGTGACCCATTGTTTCAAACTAGAATTTTACGCTGATTACAATGCCGCAATTAGTTTTTAAAAATCTTGATCCGTTCTAAAGTTATGAGGACTTTTTATAACTTTATTTTTAGCCCATTTTAACATTGTATTATTATTATTTTATTAAATGAAAGTGGTGTTGTGACCCATCATTTTGAACTAATTTTTTATGCTGAACTCAATGCCGCAATCCGTTTTTGTTTCTCAGGCTTTCTTGATGAAATATTAAAATTATTTATATAAATAAAATTAGAGTTTTGTCTGTACATTGCTCAGAATCATCCATTTTTAGGTCATTTTTACGTTTTACACATTAAAGAAGCCGAAACAAGTCTCATCTAAATTTCTGTCTGTCTGTCTGTCTGTCTGTCTGTCTGACACACTCAAGATGGCATTTTACGCAATCTTCTCCAGGAAAACGAGAGTACCTATCAAGACCCAAGTCATTTTAATGTATTCACTGGATTGGCGAGAGTGTCTTTAGCCATTAAAATATGGTCTCACTACTTTGTAATTAAAATTACGGCCGTTCAAAAATGCAGTTTTGTGCGATTTTTGTCAAGTTTTCTTCCAATTTGTATCACATAATCATCTATGAAACAACGAACAGCTGTTCGGATCAAGATTATTTTTTCTAGCTGTCACTGAAATGTTTACAAATGTTGTTTACAAACACCACAACCATTTCCGATCACGTTTTGAAGGCAAATCCCATCCAAGTGAGATTAAAAACGTTTTTATTACATAATGGATTTAATTAATGGCAAGTGGAATAATATAGTGTAACCGTAAATTAAATAACCAGGCATCATCCAGGTCAGGAACCAGAAATATGTGTATACAATTGTTTTGGAGTTTTGATAACCAGAAAGAAGACATTGAATCAAGATTGAATCAGTGTTGTATACGGCTGGGAAACTTAAATTTACTAATGACCGTCGCCAATAGCTTAGAAACAATGTTCCACTCATTGACGGCACTTCAATGGCGGTTGTGTAAAGTGTAAAGCAAAAAATTACAACTGCAGTGGGTGATTGTAACAGAGGTTTACGGATGATGCTGAACTCGATTTTCCAATGTGTCACTTTCTATTCCTACCATTGACTATATAAAGTCAATAGTTCCTACTGACCGTGTGATGCAATCGCTGGACCATACAGCCAATAGGCCCATAGCCCTTCTCTTGGGTACGTGTGGTACGTATGCTTACCCAATTATTTATAACAACCCTTTCGACAACGATCCTTGATACCGGTACTTTTCCATAGAATACACGGCCTACCTAGGTACTTAAGAAATAAAATTATAAACGTCCAAAAACCCAACGTTGTGTGATTTTTGTCACATTTCCTTATAATGTTAATATATATACCAGCAACCATTGTTTAGAGAATACGTAATCTATTAAATAACAGAAAGTTATGTTGCATAAGGTTTTTTTTCAAACTGACACCGATAAGTTTACATTAAGAGTTGTATACAAATAAATCAATTAATGGGAAATAACTTTGATTGCCGATAACTTTTTACGAGAAAATCCAAAACCAAGAGATCAATAACCTTGATTAACGCATATAATTGGTCGGCTGTACTACAGTTCTTAACTGTAAACGTTGGTTTTTGGTACGGTACTGGTTCTTTTCCTTTTAACCTTTAGTAGCAGCAAGAATCATTTTTACGTACCAACACATCACAGTAATTTACAAATTAGTTATCGTTGGTGTTGCACCTTATTTATTACAGGCGTAGGCCTATTCAATTTAATTGATGTCTTAACTGTATAATTTTTGCTTTTTCTGTCTGGATTCCAAAATGTTATGCTAAGAAAACTATAACGCATTTTAGTAAAACATTTATTCAGCAAACCATCATGAATTGTTCAACCACTTTGAACGTTGTTTATGTATCAATAGTTCGTGGCCTATTTTGGTAATTTTTATTACAAATTACCAATCTAAATCGTCCATAGTAGGCCTACTGTACTTCATTTCATATAGCAAACCGATTCAGATAGCATTTCGACAGAATTTCGAGTCATCTCCGGTCCAAGCAAATATAAATTGTTATGATCAAATTTTATGTCATTTACAAAGATTTCAACTACTAATTTTATATGTACCTTTTTATGCTTAAAGCGTAGCAGATTCCCTAATTAAGTTCGGTATTTTTGTGTGTATGTATGATGGTAACGCATTAATGTCCTTGTTTCTCAATGTTTCACGGAAAGGACAAGAGCGCCTTGATAATGAAAATGTCAACCCGAATAAAGTGTTAAATTAAGAGGTTGAGGTAGTACCTTAAATACTTTTAACCATTATGTCATAGTCCTTTAAATTCTGAACAAAATTGTACAAATCCCATTTCCGTATATTTACTCTCACCGCTTACACATGATAAAGGTTGTTGACAAACTTATGGGAGAAAGTATGTGTCAGAATGCTGATACCGTTTATTTAGTTTAATCATTGGATATAACATATGGACCAACAAGATCCGGGTGACATTTAATTGCGAAGCATTAGTTTTGGCTTGAAACTGTCAGATACTGTATTTGCGAAGGAATAGTTCTGTCAGCATATCTGAAAGTATGCAAACCAACTGCTGTGCTTTATATAAGAAGGTTTTAACTGACTATGATAAGATCCCCGTGCGTAGAACGGGCACACAGCTAGTCTTATTTAAATTTCCAATATTTCAAAAAACAAATATGAAAATGCAAAACTGATTGCGACATTAAATTCAGCATAAAAAAAATAGTTTGAAATGATGGTTCACAACACCACCTTCATATTTAAATTAACTTATCACATTTCAAAATGGCAGATCCAAGATGGCGGCCGAAAAAAATACATCCGCCATAACCAAGTGATAATAGGTCGACAATGAATGGTGGTGTATACTTATCTTTATCTAGCACTATTTTGAGATTATGGTCTTAGTTTGTAAATGCACAATGTTAAAAATGGGCTAAAAATAAAGTTATAAATAGTCATCATAACTTTAGAACGGATCAAGATTTTTAAAAACTAATTGCGACATTGTAATCAGCGTAAAATTCTAGTTTGAAACAATGGGTCACAACCCTACCTTTACATTTGAAAAATAAATTTTGTATCCAATATGGCGGATCCAAGATGGCGGCCAAAAATGCTTACCCAGTCAAAACGAAGTACTTACTACACTACAATGATCTGACGTGGTCCGAAGTTGATATCTTAAGAAATGTAGAAAAAAGTAGGGGGGGAACTCATTTAAAATTCACCCTGTATTTGGGGACTGTTGTTTATAATGTATCATAATTTAGTTTACTGTCCAAACCATATTGAGGCTGTAGCTGCTAAACGGGCCTATCTCGAAAACTGATGTTATGCGATAATCGCTGTTAAAGTTTAGAGGTTATGTTTGGCTGTCTGCGTTGGCAGTCGTCTATGCATAAAAGGCCTGGTGACACCAGCTGACTTAAAGAGTCATACGAACAACAAAAAACTGAAATACAACATTGCAAATTATTAAAGAATATACTAGAACATACAAGGAAGCGAAATAGCGAATCTCATCTATAAGGGCCCATCTCGCCTTAGGCCCCTTTAGCAGCTACAGCCTGTATGTAGTTTAATAGTAACTGTACTGTAATTGGGTGCTCTATCAGCTGATACTGGTAAGAAAACCAGCTGGTTCTAGAGAATATAAATATATACAATGAATTTTATCTATTTAACCCTGATATGCTCATTTTAGATCGAAAAAAAAACACAAGACCTGTTCTTATTACTTTAAAATATTTTGTGGATACAGTTAACATTTTGTGTTACATAATACTTGTGTGTTTTAGGTAGAAAACCAAGACAAGTTGTAACTGGAGGAATACAATCGTTATTTGAAGATTTTAACATTGGTAAGTTTAAAAATGTACAGTATATTATTATTGTCTCTTATATTAAATTTCTTAAATTTAAATCATACTAGACTTCCAGTAGCCTAAGTCACAGAATACAAAATGCTTTAACTGTAAAGGCTTTTCATACGCGGTTTGAGTATGCAACTTTATACATTTTTAATGAGTATTCATTATACATATTTAATTTAAGTAGAATTTTTAATATTTTGCCACTATAACAGATAAGGGTAATCCAGGTGTCAGTAAAATACAACGACTCTCAAACCTTCTACAGCTTTGAAAATTCAAATGATTGTCACAGCGATTTCTGTTACTACAATTTTTAAGATTTATAACATTAGGATTAATATTACTTCAGATTTATCTTGCCTACACTACTATGGTTAACGCTCATGTTGAAACCCACAGTGCGATACATTTATGTATCATATTGCTTTATTTATTTACGTAATAGAATAAGGGGTTTGTGCAGAGAAACTCCTTCTCTCCCCTTTAACATCCCTTATTCGCGCGTCCTACTTACCCAATTTTTACCGTTTAGGTGTCATCTCAAAGCTTATAATATATCAGAGGGAAGAATAATAACCAACAAGGTAATTATTTAGGGCTTTCTTTCCCAGTTTTATTTATTTCTTGAGTGCAATATGAATGGCCCAGTTATGCTGATAGTTGTCTTTATACATATTACGGTGCTGTTATATCTAAGCCTTATAACCCAAGTGAACGCTGGATCCAAACTTTCCAATATCTCGTATTGTATGGCAAAAGATTATACCATTTTGAGAGTCGGATTTGGAGGAAGAGAGGTTGAACTTGTAAAATTGCCAGTTATTTTTTTACCAACATTATCTTTGTAGAGGAAAAGCTTATTGGATTATTAATTTGGCATAATAATCAAGTTTAAACTCTATAAAATGTGAAATTTGTGTACGGGTCCCCTTTATTTAATTTTTAGAGGGTTAAGAAAGGTCCGTTTTGATTTTATTTAATTTCGGTTGAAATATGTTGTTATGTATGTAATATTATAACATAAGTACCTTGTAAATATGGTGTTACCCGGCATAACAATTGGTAGGGGTGAGGAATATTTCATATTACCGGTATTTTATAAGTAATCTCTGATACAGATCACCAGTGTTTATCTACACAGCTGACCCAGTGGGGTTAATGTTGTTCTACTATTTAAAATGTTCTAAAATAAAAAAATAATGTCATTCCTTACAAAAAGTAAACCTTTATGGAGTGTAAAAAATTTTAAAACATTTTTCATAAATAATAGTAACAACAACTAACCTAAACAATATAATTTCTTTTATGTGGCAATCAGTAGGACAACTCAACCAGGCCAGGAAACGTCACATTTTATCTTAAAGCCAAAACCATTCAATATTTCAAACCTCCAGAAGCGGTTTGAGAAAGGTGGGGTTTTACAAAAGCCATTATTATTGTTTTACATTCAAGAGCGAAGACTAGCTGGAGAGCAAATGGAAAATCTTGGAGATAGTATGATTTATTCAGCAGATATCTCCTCAAATCCGCAGATCCTCACATCATCGCTTTAGAATTCTGAAATATGCTTCGTCAGCAAACATTGCCCCCGTCTAAATCCTTCATTTATAATATTTTCGTCTGCGGTTCCGATCGAAACAATAACAAAACTTCGTGAGTTGGTTGAATATGCGACGTTATCTCATTATTTTATTTTTCGGGTGATAATTATTTACAGTATTTTGGCTTTATATGTTAGCTTTTTATTTTTAATGCCTACTTGTTTATCACTATACATCTTGTCACATACTCGAATACATGTGTCTTCTAATACTCTATGTATTTATTATTGGGATGGTTTCAAAACTAGTTTAGAGACAATAATGGCAAGTTTACTATATTGATCTATTAGGCTTTCTAAAAACAAATTTTTCTCCAAAGGGGGATAAAGTAAAAACTAAGCTCCTGAATTTCCATAAATATTTGACTAAAAATATGTATCCGCATTTTTATTTTAAGCTACAGAACAAATTAACTGCTCTAAAAAATATCTGCGTATTAGGAAAACAAACAAATATTCATACAAACATTTTGGACATAAAAATATCAAGTTAATCGTATTGCACCTGAAACTATTGAAGTTTTTTTACAGAACCAGAACAAAGACACTGTTTGATTTGGGCCTGGTAATGACCGTTGTCTCAGAGAAAATTTTATAGCCTGTTAAATATATCATATCGTCCTACAAATAATTAAATTATTGAAACCCTAGAAAATTGGAAATAGTTACAGTGTTGCTGTGTTTCTAGAACTACTATTTAAACATTTTGAAGCTTTAGTTTGATTCCAAAGTTTTACTTTTAGCACCGGATTGGTCTCGATCAATTTAATTAGTTTTTTTAGTTCCAATCAAAACTAAATCATTGGTGTATTGAATCTTGAGTCAAGAAACCTAAAATATAATCCAGAAGGGTCCTAGAGTAAGTGGCTAGCGGTAAATTATCCAAACCCGCATGGTCCAGTTCAACCGAGGGCACAAATATCAGTAACATTGTCTTCGAGCTTTAAAGTATCCTTTACTGCAAGTCATCACTTTTTAAATCTCCTAAATTCAATATAATTGGTTCAAAAACTGAATAAAATACCAATATAATTTTATAATGTTTGCACATTTAATTATAAACTCATACGTTGGATTAAAAATGTTTACAACTCTACATATTATTCGTATAAGTGTATAGTTTCTATATTAAGGCTACTATTTTGATAGTAACAAACCTATCTGGTTCGCTTCTATAGTTACATTGTCTATATTTGTTGCTCTACTTAATATTTAATGGTTAAATACTTTGATATGAATTTAATGTTTAACATCTTCCGTCAAAGCTCTTCTAAGTTTTATCTAAGTATGTCACACCTATAGCGACAAACAGACAGTTTTAATAATTATTTAAATACCTTCAGTTATCCAGATCGAATAAGGTAGGTTTTCTGCGATCTGGGTTTCAGCCCGTGCCATCAACAGGCTCCATATATTCCACTGAACGTCGTACATGTAGACCTACATTTAGTTCACATGACACTAACAAGGGTACGAATAAATAAACATTTATCGACAGTATTTGCTAAATAAATTTCGTAGAAGGTTTTTCTTGGGACAGTATGGATTTTAGAGATATTATTTCTTTAAATAACACAATTTTTTTCAAATATGTATACACTTTTTTTATCAGGTCTATAACTAATTCAAACTTACTTGCTTATTTTAATTCTCTACGGGTTGCGACAAAACATAATTACTATGGACGAAAATTAGCAAAATACTGTTGCAAAATACTAATTGAACTAAATACATTTATACAGGGTGTCCTGTAACTCTCTGGACACATGTACATAGCATTATTGCTTAGGTCAAGACAAACACATTTCACTATAGGAACATGCGCCTGTGGTGCCTAGTTTTCCATCTATGTTTATGTGTTTTTTACAAAAGATTTAATAACTCCTACATGGTTTGAGATACAGCGTTGAGATTTAGCAAAAATGTTTATCTTATTAAGACCTATTTTCGTAAAAAATTATACTAAAACACCATCAACAGTTTCACAATGGTGGCCATTTAAAATCTTTGAAGCCAAATTTCACGAAAACCTTCATATCAATATGTGTCCAGAGAGTTACGGGACACCCTGTATATTCTTAAATATTGTAATTTAACTTCGGCTCAAGTATTATAAATTCCGAGTAGATGGATGAGAAGGATTATATCCAACACAGGCTCATCGTCACTCGGCAATGCATGAAGTACTGAACGACAATTTAACTTTGATGATCCACTTTTGATTGTGTTTGTGGTGATGCCCGTCGAGATAAGAAGTTTGATGGAATCCTTCCGCTATAACTCGAATCATAATGAAGACCAATGTTTGCATTAGATTCGTGAGGGACAATATAGTTCAATGCTTGCCGATTAGTTTGCACACGTTCACACGAGTGCAGTAAATGAAGTTTTGATATATACCGTTTCACCACGAGTAATAAGTACCAAATTAGGATAACTATTTAGCTTTTTAAAAGTAAATTTATCAACTTTATTGTTTTTTTATTCCTAGAACTAGCACATTTTATCCGTGTTATGAATACAGAGTGTCCCACAGAAGGTGTCACAAATTGATTATCGAGGAACGGCTTAACGTACAAGGATGAAATAAAACTATTTCCCGCTAAACCAACCCCAAGGAATAACGTAAACATATTTTTAACTTTTTTCTGATACAGGGTGTGCCAAAAACTGAAGTTCATCTCGTAATTTTCAAAAGTAAACATACGTCGTGTTATACATCGTTTTAAAGGTATTTAATAAACAAACATTTTGGCAAAAACAGAAATGAGTATCTTTTTTCGTTTCAAAATGGCGAAAGTTTATTTGGAAGAATCTATATGTTTTTAATAGCCTACTCTGTGTTTCCTATACCAATGCACTTAGCCCTTCTCCTGTAGAATTTTCTTACTCGTTGTGAAATTAAATTTAAAGGCTTAAAAAAGTTAAAAACATGTTTACGTTATTCCTTGGGGTCGATTTATCGGGAAATAACTTTATTTCATCCTTTTATGTTAAGCCGTTTTTCCGTAATCAAATTTGATACGCCTTACGTGGGACACCCTGTAAATATCTTTCTCATCTCTTTTAATATATGCTTTAAAAATGTGTAGGTCTTACAAAACATAGCCGATTTAAAATACAAATTAACAGCTTTGGTGGAACATGTGTTGATTTTTATATGTTACATCATTTATAGTGCAGTTTATTTCGAATGATATGCATCCGCACGTTGGTATTATAAAAGTTGGTTTCTAATAAGTGAGTCCTCTTCTTTAAATTTCATTATCCAACTAACCACTCATCTTCCACTACCTTCGATAAAAGCCGGTTAGTCAAATTCAAGGGTACATTTACAACGTATTCTTTGCTTTCTGAATGTAATACAGATTACATTCAAAATATAAGTAACAAATACTAGCTTTTACATACGGGTTTCACCCCGTTTGACTTCATAAGTAGTAATAAAACTATCGATTAGTTAAGTTAAGCTGAAATAAACAACAGAGAATACAGCATTAAAAACAAATAATCACACCTGAAATTGAAATAATAACAAACAGATAAGCGCAGCTGAGGTGTTTTTAGCATTAGGTATATCGAAAGTTCCCTTTTAGAAAGAAATACCGTCCTTATTGGGCAATTTATGAAATATTGGATGGTTTTTTGCAAAGTTTTTTCGTCATGACGAACATTTTAAGTATATGTATTATGGGGGGTGTGACTTTTACTTTTCTCAAAAGTTCATGGGTACTTTGTGATTTATATATGTATACCATTATATTGAATTGAATTATTTTCATGTACGAGAGCTCACCCCATGTTCGGAAACTCAACCAAAATTATGTATTGGGCAAACTTATCTCTATTTTCACCCCACGCTGTAAATAAAACATGTGATTGGAATTTCTTCCATTTGTTTTGATTTCCTGCTTATATTTTGTTGTTATTTCGTCACCAGCATGGCAACCCATAAGGTCCATGTAATCTTTTTAATTTTAAATTAATTTTATGTATGTATTTTTGAGCCATTTTAATTTATAAAGGGATTATGCACATCTACAGGATTTTTTTTTTCATTTGGTGCCAACAGCGTGTAATTTGGTCCAGTAGTATGGTCAGGCTAGCTCTCATAAGCTTTGCAAAATTTTTTTTAGAATATAAGATGTATCAATCAATAACGGAATAGTAGGGAAAACGCACTCTTCATTCTTGGACAAAAAACATTAAAATATCTCCAACTTATGCATAAAGACAAGAGGGAGTGAAGATCAACAATTTAGAATTAAATTTTACATAATGTTACAAACTTTGGCAATTCACTGCTTCGGTTTGTTAATCACTACACTAACTGAGTCCAGGACTTGGTAGCCAGGATCAATGTCTGTGCAGGATGTACAATTAGCTACGGCAGGACCTGGCAGGAGGACCCTTGAGGCGGAGTGATGGCTAATGCTCCCTACCTCTCTCAGGGACAATCGGCCCAATGTTGCCATCTTTCTAACTTCTACACAGATTAGTCAACAGCAATTTGTAAGACAAGAACTCGCTTGTTAATTTCGAACCTCTAATACAGAGTTCAGTAAAAATATATGATAATCATTATGTTTCGGGTGTAACAATAACCAATATAACTCCTTTCTCTTCATGTGACGATGGTTCCTATGATAATTAACGCGTAGGAAGTCGATCATGATTAATTATTTATCATTCTTTCCGCGTACAAGCTTGATTCAAAATATTTTACTTAAAATATGTTTTCGTGCTAAAACTTATTTTCAATCAGGAAATGGTGTATTAGTAAACCGGTCTTCCTCACCAATCGCTTTTAGTCATTCCTACATATTTTGTATGTAATAGCAAGACTTGCAGTCCAATCATTTGTCTCAACGAAGATTATCAAAAGTGATTCAAGAAATCGATCCTACGCCCAAAGGGCAGAAGTACGTTCTCTACCTTATAGGTCGAACTAAGAACTTATTCTTCACAATTTTCGTTATAAGTTTTGTAGGCAAATGAACATATTTAATAATGTAAAATGTGACGGGACCACTGAGAAAAGTTCTCCGATTAATGGTTCAGTTATCTTTACCGATACAGTTTAATATTTTTAAGACGAATAAGGAAACTTTTCAAGATGTTTTTAATGTCTTTAGAAGCACGACGTGGTACAATAACTGACCTAAATTATTGTAGGAGGGATTTTGACCTGAGCTCCATGTTTGCAGTAAGTAATACACGGTAATACACAGTTTTTTAACATAGCTCAAATAATCATAATACCATGAAACACTTTTTAACCAGCTAATATGTTCGTATTACGGTTTTCTTTACTTCATTGCTGATCGGCTAATATGTATTGTTGCATCGATATCCATGAGGTTTGGTTTTATTGAGATGTTATTGTAAATAAGACTAAATATGATATTTTCGGAAGCACAAATAATAGCGCATGGATTGTAGGTCTACGTATTTTGGGTTTTTACAGATCAATTTTCCTAAAATTTTTGACAATTCTATGAATAACCGATTCTTTAGTACTGGAATCACGTATTGAAACTTAATTTTAAAACTATTTATGCATTAAACCAATGGTTTATATTTAATGTATAATACATACTCTTTAAACTTGCAAAGATCCCACAAGTCTTAATAACAAATACATTCCCAATAACACCATAACTCATACCATAGACAAAAAGGATTAAAGGTAGACCGTCATCTGTGTTGCGGTTACCATAGGTTCTGGTGCACACTTCTGGGAGTGCCATGTAGTTCCGGCGTACGCGCTACGTGACTACACGGCGCTCCAAGCGCTGTGCGCCAGAACCTTTGTTAACCATGGTAACCGCAGCACGGCTGACGTTTTGTCTATGGTTGTGTATAGATATTTATGCAACAATGAATGCTAATTGGGAACTAAATAAAGAAAACCGGGATTCCAATATATGAGCTTGTTTTGTTGCTAAAAAGTGTCTTACAGTACTTGTACTTTGGGTTGCGTAAAACAGCCTGCTGTTTTTTGTGTTTATGTATATCTAACTAATATGTACCTTTATGTTATAGTAACTGAGTCGCTACTGCCAAGGTTCGCAGAACCAATCCCAAACGTAACAGTCACTGTAGGCAGGGACGCGCTCTTAGCCTGTGTGGTGGACAACCTGAGACAGTACAAGGTAATATAATACAGTGTTTAATCAAATTTTGTTTTAGAATCCCACCAATAGTATAATATATCCATTTAATTTCAAACACTTCCCTTCACTAGTTTTTATCCCTTCAGATATCAAACGTAATTAATATCTTGGTATAATACATACTTATTGTATTGCACTTTTTGTCTTCAAAATGGCAATAGATTTAAAATGCAAGCAGTGCGCTATATTTAAATAGACATTTATATAAACATAATGCAAAATTGTCCTAATATCAATTGAAGGATTCTGAAAAATAAAGCATTACAACTCAAGACTTTATTTTGTCTAAGGAATCTTATTTAAGACAATATAATCACAAAACTATGTTTTTTTCCTGCAGTTTGGGACAGGTTTCGGTTTTTGAAAAATTCCCATGTTATTCTTATGGAGAATATTGTCAAATGTTGTAGTTTGCTTGTTTATGAATATATTTTTATCAAACTTGGCAAATTTATTTATTTTCTACTAAGCTATCAATATTTTACTCAAAAACACACTTTATTAGTTTCCTTGTAGCAGCAAACCTAGGTACTCGTTAAACCTAATGTTATTAAAATATATTTAACTGAATCAATTCAGACAAATGGAAATTTGCTTAGTCGGCAGGTTTGCTGCGGCGGGGGTATTTGAATTACAACTTTAACGCAATGCCAACAACTAGTACCTACAGTTACACATTAATCAAAGGTTTTAGGTTCAAATGGTAAACATATTTCATGTTCTACTTGAATACCCCTCCTGATTATAGTTGTAATAGAAATGGGAGCTAAATCCAACTTCCACCTAATTAGCTTGAATAGAGTCGGGTAAAAACCATCATCCCATCTGAGAACCTGCCAAAGAGGTGTAGGGCCAAAAGAAATCGTAGAAAATATGCTATCGTAAGTGAAGCATTTTCTCTTGACTTTAGAAGTACGGATAGGATGCTGCTCATTGGAGGGCCAAAGTATTGCCTTTATTTCCAATTTTCAATTAGAACGCATATGATTTGGACATGTGGATATCCTATAACAAGTTTTACTGAAGAAAAAAACTATATTTAACACTCTTGATTTATGAAATATCGAGTGAATTTTTTTAAGAGGTTCTTTAATACAGCGATAGTCTTTCCACTTTAAGTCATATCCATTTTTTCAACCTTGGTTGGGCTTTGAACCACCGCACCACGGCCTTTCCTCATCCATGAAATATGTTCGTGTTTGGCGGGATTATTTCCCGGGTGTTCAACACTTAAATTCCACTGGTTGCCCAATATTACTGTTGTGTAAAAGATACACAGTCAATAAACATTTTTACTAAATAAATATTATTATGTGCTCAGCACAAATTTACCCATAGATAGACATGTAATGCATACATATGAGTTGGAACGAAGATAATATTAACATTCATTGTAGTTGCCCCGGAACTGTAATCTTCTATATCTATAAAAAAATATCTATGTATGTATGTATACTTGTGGTATACCTTATGTTATACCTCCGAAACCACTTGACATATTGTAATGAAACTTTCAGGTATTATTAAGCATTATTCAAGGATGGGTTGTGTAAAGTTTGGTACAGATCTGTTAAAAGGGCTCCACCCTAGAGGGTTTTAAGGGATCCAATTTCAGACTTTTGAAACTACAATGTTAACAAATAAATATAATTTAAAAGCAGATGTTTAATTTCACCAACTGTTAGTTTGAATAATCACATTCTGTGTTAGTCATAATTTAGAATAGTGCAACGATATTTCCACAGAATGCAGGACATAAAACTATTTTACTTTTCGATAAGTCCAAATATATTAACCCCCAATCGCAACACACCTGTGTACTCAACAACGTTAAAATTTTCGCTTACTGTATTAAATATGTAAACATAAAAGTAAAGACCATTATCAAAGTAAACCTAATATATTCATACACCTAATAAATATATAAATATATAGATTGTTAAGAGCAAATTACCATTTAAAATAATAGTTTTTAGCGCAGCAACACGCGCCGGGTAACTGCTAGTAATGAATAAAATTGGTTTAAACCCAATTTCAGTCAAAGGAGATATTATGTTAAACTGAAACCCCAACATCTTATAACACCTTATTAACACAGATGTCGAACTACCCGCTACGCCGCGCAGTGCCGTATCAGCGTTTGAACTGCCAAGTTATGCAAGGCAAATCTACGAGTATAATCACATTCACTCTGTTCCGCTTGCGAATTACTTGAACTGATGGAGTTGTGTATACAATGCAGCACACTTCTCGCTGCGAAACTTAATTCGTTGCAACCAGCTTCATGCATCACAATAGCTGCAAGGCCTGGATAATTTTGAACAAAGTAGCTCTATACGAATCAAGCTTGTTTCATATTAGTTGAACTGTTTTCAGTTGTTTTCATAGAAGTGTGAGCTAATGAGGTTAAGATTCGTGTTATTTTTCATTACAAACTTTTGATACGAAAATTTTTCTTTGCTTTTATTTTGACTTTTACCTTCTATGTATCAAAATATTTTAATAGTTTTAACATAGACAAAACGTTTAAATTTCAAATACAGACTATATTTAAATCAACTATCCCACACATATTAACGAAAAACTTCGTGTTGTTTGCAAAAATACAAAAACCCAACTGTTCTGATGAATTTTAATAATTTCAAGGTTGTCACAATATCATCAAGTCATCGATAACACAAAATAAAAAGTTTCTCATGTTTCGTCACAACTGTTTAAGATTTTATTTAGACCAAATACTGTATTACCAAACTAAACCAATTACCCAAAAAATATCAAATTTAAAATGTATTCCTTGAAAATAAAAATAATGACCAACATTTAACACAAATTAAGTAAATACAAATTTTACAGTTGTGTCCCTAAAATCATTTATATGGCCCCCCTAAGTCCACAGAAACATATTAATTTAAGGAGCTATTTCACCTACAGATATTCCAAAGGTTCGGTAAAACACAAGAATAAACAGTAAACTTGATGTTATTTGGAAAGAAAACAAAGCGATATCCCCGGGTCATATGGTGGCGCGGCGATCGTAACCAACCAATGTAGTATGGACGGAGGCAACGCACGTCCCATCCTAATAACTGGAGGCATTCCACTCACGTGTCGCCTAAGGGAAATAAATACCGCCATCGTCTCAATGTAAACCTCTTATATTAATTTTATATTGCACAAAAGCCCTCTTGCCTTTCCAGCAACAAGGAATACTGCCTTGTGATTCCTGAAATGGTTGTGATGGGATTAGTGTAGTTTTTTAGTCTATGTTTACTATTGTTTATTTACCAATAAGATTCTATACTATAAGCATTATTTAAGCTGTCCGTTTGATATCAAAAACAAATCAAGTCCTTTTGATTAAAAATTTGACGTTGTAAGGGTTTGATTGGGAATTATGTATTCGTTGATACATAAACAAATAAAATTATTGTTGACAAATAAAAAAATCTTCAGCAGTAGCATATATTTATTATATAAACCCAATATTTAACTGTTGATTTTAACTTCTATGATTGATAACTTCTACAAAGCCTATCTATAACAATTTATAACTCGGCCTTATCGTTCATTACACATTTAGAGACTAACTGACATTTTAATACTTATTTTAAACTAATATAACATTTTTCCCTGAAGAACTGAAAATATTTGTTTCAATAAATATTAAAATAAAAACAGGACCAATATTTTACTTATTTTTATTTTTATGAGGCCTTTCTTGTGAGTTTATGAGGTACGTTTTTGTGAAGTGTCTGATGATGCAGCATAGCTAGCAAAAGTGTTTTTAAAACAAAAAATAGTATAATATTATTGACGTTTTATTTTAAAATTGATAAAAACCAATACAAACTAGCTCAATGCGTTTATGGTTTATTGAAGGTAGACATTGCCATATAAATCCTTTTACAAACCTTTCTATGCGAAGGCTTTGTGGTTCATACGATGATAGCGAAGCAGCAATAATTAGTAGTAGTGGATAAAAGTGTCGAGTGTGGGATTTAATATGAATGCCTATTCCCACTACCTAGTTCCAGGCTTCATTACTAAAATACTACCTAAATGCGTTTCAATAATCCATAGACAACAATGCTGATAACCTATAACTGTACAAATAACCCAAAATAACCTAAAACTGCTAAGTAGCCTATATACCACTATAAGTTCAATACTTATAAGAATAAAAAAACAAACAAAAAAAACGTGTGTTTACAGTGAAATACAGAATTAAAAGTCAGTTTACCAATGCATTAATGCATAATTATGAGGGTATAACAGCAAAACTCCTTCAATTACTTTCCGACTGATTGAATATGTATGCTACTTAACATCATCATTAACTATGTATTGCAACCAACCAAATATTACAGGATAATGTGTTTTAAATGTATGGCAAACATTGCACCAATACACGACTTTGCCACAGCGTCTACTCACAGCGATCACGTTGTATTGTTTCCTTTACAAATACAATAGGCCACATTGGCATTCAATTACGTCATAATTGCCTGCATTATTCCAAGGCTCTCTTGATTAAAACCGTTCTGCCCAGAATGTGACGGAAAGTTTAGGTAAAACAGGTGAACTTATAATGGGCCCCATGGTTTCATAATCCTTTACAATTCTTTATCAGGAGAAGAGAACAGGTTTATGAATATTTTGTAAATAATTAGTACACATTTAAGATTGACCTATGTTTACCTCTTTCAATAGTTCTATTAACGATGGTTTAAAGAGGTAATAATGTATTTTGGACATTCAAATAGTTTGGCGACGATAGTTAAATACTTTTTACATGTTTTCAAAATATATCTGTTGGCAAAAGATTGTTACAACAGTCTTTTGCTTTCTTAAAATTGATTTTTGTCAATTTTATGGGTTTTAGATTATCATAGATTAAGATTTTAGATATTATCTTGGGTGAAGGAAACAACATGTTTAGTACGTTCTGAAAGTTTGACAATGCTGATGTAATGTATATTCCAATTTTCCTGAATAAATCATAAATGAGTATTTTTTATTTGTGTACAGATAGTTTGGGTGAAAGAAAACACCCAAACCATCTTGTCGATTCATCACCAGGTAGTGACTCAGAACCCTCGGGTATCCTTGAGCTACAACGACCACCGCTCCTGGTACCTCCACATCATGTATCCGTGTATAACATATTTTGCTCATGTACAGGTAGCTTGGGTGAGAGTATACACCCAAACCATCTTGTCGATTCATCACCAGGTAGTGACCCAGAACCCTCGGGTATCCTTGAGCTACAACGACCACCGCTCCTGGTACCTCCACATCATGTATCCGTGTATAACATATGTTGCTCATGTACAGGTAGCTTGGGTGAGAGTAGACACCCAAACCATCTTGTCGATTCATCACCAGGTAGTGACCCAGAATCCTCGGGTATCCTTGAGCTACAACGACCACTGCTCTTGGTACCTCCACATCATGTATCTGTATATATAACATATGTTGTACGTGTACAGGTAGCTTGGGTGAGAGTAGACACCCAAACCATCTTGTCGATTCATCACCAGGTAGTGACCCAGAACCCTCGGGTATCCTTGAGCTACAACGACCACCGCTCTTGGTACCTCCACATCATGTATCCGTATATAACATATGTTGTACGTGTACAGGTAGCTTGGGTGAGAGTAGACACCCAAACCATCTTGTCGATTCATCACCAGGTAGTGACCCAGGACCCTCGGGTATCCTTGAGCTACAACGACCACTGCTCTTGGTACCTCCACATCACGTATCCGTATATAACATATGTTGTACGTGTACAGGTAGCTTGGGCGAGAGTAGACACCCAAACCATCTTGTCGATTCATCACCAGGTAGTGACCCAGGACCCTCGGGTATCCTTGAGCTACAACGACCACCGCTCCTGGTACCTCCACATCATGTATCCGTATATAACATATGTTGTACGTGTACAGGTAGCTTGGGTGAGTGTAGACACCCAAACCATCTTGTCGATTCATCACCAGGTAGTGACCCAGAACCCTCGGGTATCCTTGAGCTACAACGACCACCGTTCCTGATACCTCCACATCTTGTATCTGTATATATATATAACATATGTTGTACGTGTACAAGTAGCTTGGGTGAGAGTAGACACCCAAACCATCTTGTCGATTCATCACCAGGTAGTGACCCAGAACCCTCGGGTATCCTTGAGCTACAACGACCACCGTTCCTGATACCTCCACATCTTGTATCTGTATATATAACATATGTTGTACGTGTACAGGTAGCTTGGGTGAGAGTAGACACCCAAACCATCTTGTCGATTCATCACCAGGTAGTGACCCAGAACCCTCGGGTATCCCTGAGCTACAACGACCACCGCTCTTGGTACCTCCACATCATGTATCCGTATATAACATATGTTTTACCTGTACAGGTAGCTTGGGTGAGAGTAGACACCCAAACCATCTTATCGATTCATCACCAGGTAGTGACCCAGAACCCTCGGGTATCCTTGAGCTACAACGACCACCGCTCCTGGTACCTCCACATCAAGAACGTACAAGACATAGACAGAGGCTGGTACATGTGTCAGGTTAACACAGACCCCATGAGGAGTCGGCAGGGCTATCTGCAGGTTGTTGGTGAGTGAAGCAGCTAAATTGATTTTAATTCTCAATTAATTAAAAATATGGAAAGAAATTAACTCGTGACAACAACTGAGAAAAGTATAGTTCTGATGCAGATGTAGGGGTGTTTTCTTGAATTTTTTTTTCAATTTATATAAACCCTTTTTTAATTTTTTGTCCTATGACTCTAGGCAAGAGCCCGGAATTGTGTTTTACACTATTTCACGCTAGATCTAGGGGTTATCACTTAGTTGAAATCCATTGGTGATTTAACATTATTTAAACCCGGGACCTCTTGAACCAAAGTCCCGCGCTCTAACAACTACACCAGCTCCCCAATTGTATGAATACAACACCATATAAACACTTTAACACTTACACCTTATAGCAGGTGGTATTACTAAATTCAGATATTTTACCTACCCATACTTAGGATAGATAACATTACCTAGCTTAACCGAGATCTAAATTAAAAAGTATTCCGACAGTACATACAAAGCAGCTCTCTCATCAAATAACAGAGTACATTTTCAAAAGATCAGAGGGTTTTTTAATGTAAATTGTTATAACACCTCTATCACTGTACAGTGGATTGTCTATATAACAATTAACTCTCTCATCAAATTGTCCTTTTGGGATCTACCAAGTGGTTTTATAATCTTACATTCTTCTACGGGATATATTTCTTCAGTTCCTCCTAAGATCATGGACCGTGACTCCAGCACGGACCTGGTGGTGAGGGAAGGCTCCAACGTGACCCTGCATTGCCACGCCGTGGGACACCCGGAGCCTTACGTCATGTGGCGGCGGGAGGATGGTGACGACATCAACTACAACGGCGATATAGGTGAGGGAGTAGAGTTGGAAAATTATAGACCAATATGTATAATGGCAAGGATATTTAACATCGAACCGTGTTTCATTAGTAGTTAAATAAAATTGTCAAGGAAAATTTTATTGGAGGATAGTAGTATATTTTGCTTTAGTATTAATGTTTACTAAATGAAATCCATTTGATGGTCAATTTCCAAAGAAATGTTTCAAGCAAAATTTCAAAAATTGAGGGGCTTGGATTGTTTATTGGTTCTAGAGAAACATTATCAAAACATTTTGTGATCTTTGGAAACAATATGATTTGGACACATCTTTTTTTGAAAATGATCATCCATGAAACATTAAGAGGTTCATTTACTATAATGAGAAATCATTTATATGGCAAACATCAAAATTAATCAGTCTTATAGATGTTGTCCTTCAATATTTTAAGTGCAATTTTTTTCTGTGTCATTGACAACCTTATTTTTTAAGGCAGACGTGTTTATTTTTATAAATAAATTCTTTTCTTTCCTAGATTTATTAACTTTTAACTTATTATTTCCTTAGTTTTACATTTTGCATGAAAAACACTTAAGCCATATTTAAAAAATCAATCCTATTAGTAAGAGCCTTTCAAGTTTCGAAAAGTTACTGTCACTAATTAATAATATAGGCTGATATTGATGTTCAACAAAAATGCATCTTCAGTAGAACCTATTTACACCATAAAGGTATGGAATGTTGTTATTGAAAGGACTTTTAGTGAAACGACACACGTATACCAATGGGGTCAATAGAATGTACACACTCTGTATAGTGATCTAAAGTTTTTACATTAATAAACAAAAAAAAACTATAAAAAGAGCAATTTTACAACTTTTAAGACTTCAGGATATTTTGGTTATTGCAAAGGAATTTCTATTACAAAGGGAATATATATGCTACATATTTTACTCTTTTAATAAAATAGGTAGTGAAAAATGTCTTTATTCACTTGCTAAGAACACAACAATCCTTTAACGATACCACTTGTAAAACAACTTGTTTACAATGCAGTACATTTCAGTCAACTACAGTACTAAAATGGAATTGTACAATTATTTCAAAGACATTTTTCAATAAAATAAAATAAATCCATTAAACAATTTTCACTTACAATGTTAAAAAAATATTTTTATCCATAAATATAGAAAATAATTAATAATATCAAACTACTTATGAAACTGTTTAATAAATATTTAATAAATATTGTTGTTATTGTAAATATTTTTTTTTACCTTATAACCTCTTAGTAAGTTTATTCAGTATTTTCGCAGGAAAATTATAAAGTTGAAATACTGCTGTAACAAAATTACAATGACACCTGAACAAGTGTGGCGTTGGTCGTGAACAAGATAGGGTTGTGTGGCTGTGTGGCACTTATCAAATTACATCTCGGAAACCTAGTTAATAGACACAAACACCCTGTGTTCTCTCTTATGATTCTGTTCCACTAATCCAAGTATTCCAGCGTCCCTATCTTGGAACAAAACAGATGTGACGAACGTTAAATATTGCGTTGCTTTTTGTCTAATAGTTAATCTTATACATTCATGTCAGTAAAGTTACATAATGGACCGACAGCGATGATGCATTGGGTAATGTATGGTTTAGAGGCTCTTAAAATTTCGGTATTTTAATGAGAAAAGGTGTCACTACTAAAATGTGTCCTATGCGAATTAAGTTGATCTAAACACGTTATGAGACTCACCCAAAAGTATATTGATGTTAGGCTAGGCAAGGTTTGGTAACTGTTTCTTGGGTCTGCATGGAAAGAAATCCAGAGTAACAAAAGCTGGCCTTCTCCTACTCAAAACGTCAAAGAGGCTTTGCTTCATCACCATGGGATGGTGAAGTTTCTTACGAAATGCAAATAAAATGATTCATTTCTGTGCATTAAATGTATATACAAAAATGAATTGGCTGTTTCTAATTGAGATGGGGAACATACATGTTTCTCAATGGGAACAATTTCACTAGTGGCGGCCTTCCTTCCTGAAAAGACCCTGAAATGGTATTCACCATCGTATCAAACATCGCACCAGTGATACCAAAAACCCCAAATGACAACCTTGCATTCAAATATTATCTTGTCGATTGTATGTAGTATTTACATACATTTCACCTCTTTGTTTCAACCATATATCTACGCGTATTGTGTGTTTTAGTTAACGTTGTGGACGGGGAACTTCTACAGATCGGGAGAGTCAGTAGACTTCACATGGGAGTTTATCTATGCATCGCTTCCAACGGTGTTCCCCCCTCTATTAGCAAGAGGGTCGTTCTCAGGGTACAGTGTAAGTATTTAGAATTTAATATTTAAAGACATCCCTGAAGAACAGTACTAAATAAATGTTTAACAGAAATACAGTACCTGGCAAATCAAATTATCATCAGAAACGGTCATGGCGACATTTTGGGAGCTAAGATTAAACGTTGTGACTTTTCAAGCACTAATTACTTTCATATGTTACTTCAACCGTTGGCATTTTTAACCAACAGGTCATAAATATTCCAACGTTTTGACGACCAGACTAATTTCTCAACATGTTTTACTAATATTATATGGGAAATACAAATTCACTTTGGTGCAGTCTACGGATGAAGTGTTTGCTATATTCACTCAAAATCTTTAATTAGTAAAAGGAATGGTATAAGATAACCCTATTAATGGCATGTTTTAGACCAAAACCACCTACAATCAATGTTATGTATAATGAGTTAGGTTGTAGCCAGTTTCCATCATGTACACCCACACATGCACATACATTTATTAATCGACTGTCATGACAATGTTAATATATATATGCTATAATAAATTGGATTTAGTGGGAATGCAATTTACGTAAAAAATTTCTTTAATTTCCAATCGACAAGGCAGCACGATGAGAAAGACAAGAAAATTGTCTTAAAACCAAACAAGTTTGTTACTTGTTACTTGAATAAGATTTTGAACCTAGGAAAATAATCAGTAGAGTATACCTTTAATATACTTGATATATGACCCGTTTTAAGTAAATTTATACATTTTGTTCTACGTCAATACTAAATAGGTTTGAAATCTAAATTTCTCTGCTTATTGTGGCATATCTTATGTATTAAAAATTTTGCAAAACTTATGACACCTTGCCTAACCATACTACTGGACCGATGTAAACGTGGGTTGTAGCAAAATAAATGTGATAGGCCCTATTTGTGCAGATTTTATTTGTATTTTGAGAAATTTTATGTTAATTGGGTCAAAAATGGAAATTCAACTTTTCCTATTGAGATTTAACATTGGGCTAATTCTATACATAGACAAGCACGTTTATTGAAAATCTTCTTTCTCAGCTCCTGTGCATCGCAGGGGAAATATTCGTTTGCTGTTAGAAAGATATTTGCCTGTAGACGTGCAGAATCCATTTATAAATTAAAATCGGCTCAAAAATAAACACATAAAATGAACTTAAAATTAAAAAAAAACTTATATGGACCTTATGGGTTGCCATGTTGGTAACAAAAAAAACAACGAATGGAAGAAATTCCAATCACATGTTTTATTTACAGCGTGGGATAAAAATAGAGAAGTTTGTACAATACATACTTTTGGTCGAGTTTTCGACCACGGGGAGAGCTCTAGTTATGAATGTAAAAGTATTTTTATTTAGTTTATCAAACTATTACAACTGTATTCCCGCAGTCCCGCCTATGCTGACCATACCTAACCAGCTAGAGGGCGCCTACCTCGGCCAGGATGTTCAGCTTGAGTGTCATACAGAAGCCTACCCTACCTCCATCAACTATTGGACCACAGAGAGAGGAGATATGATAGTGTCTGGTAAGTAAAGTGCATAGAAAAAGAACATTCTCGATATTTTCGTTTTTAAACTCCTTAAATTTGATGTAAGTTTTTATTTTTATTTTATTTTTATTTCTCCATGCTTTAATTAGCCTTTTTACTCCTCATAAATGAGTTTCTATTGGTAAGCGACACTATTCATATTTTATTTCAGTATCACTAAAGTATAAAACGTAAGTGAAATGAACTCTAATTCATGTGTTAAAATTAACTTGCCACCTTAAATTATTATTGAGGAAGAGAGGTTAGGAAGGTTATTGCAGTTAAAAAGCTGTACTGTCAAGATAGTAAACTAATTAAATTTATAAAAGAACGATGATTAGTGTAGTGGCAGAATCCTAAAAAATATTTGGAAAATCCAAGGGGGGAAATATTTTTAACAATTTTGTCTAATGCAAATTTTACATCTAAGCAGAAAACAACTTTTTCCCACAGTCAACTGACAAAGTGGCCTTCCTTGCATTGATTATAGCACAGAAAGTTGCTAATTGCTGCATCTACTTACTTTTGCTGCACAGTTATACCTTAGCTGTTGTTCTTATTTTGCCGAACAACAGTATTCCAACCAAAAAACACAAAACAGCGTGATTTTATTAGACACGAATTACGTGTAGCCTAAGCTTGAAAATAGGTTGGCAACACTAAAGACATTAATAGTACAATCGTAAGATACGGCTGATGCAGAGTTTCTCATTTCGTTCAATGTTTGGATTTAATCTAACCTAAACACTTGTTGTACAGTGTTTGAAAGACTAATTACTTTTATGCTTTATAGTAAGTGTAGGGGAAATATAATGTGTAACGCAAGTGCAAACTGCATTTGCCGCACTCGAGAAACTTTCTACACGCCTGCGGCTCGTGCGTAAGCAGTTCTCTCGTGTGCAGAAAAGTGCCAATTCGCCCACTAGTTACACAAATAACTCATGATGTGTATAACGCAATTTGATCCCATGTCTGTGTAGGTGACAAGTACGAGGCCGTATCTATGGACAACGGCTACAGCAAGTACATGATGCTCAAGATACGATCAGTAGCCAAGGAGGACTTCGGCTCTTACCAGTGTGTGGCCAAGAACTCGCTGGGGGAGACTGATGGAGTCATCAAACTAGATGGTCAGTCTACCACTAGCTTGTTGTGTTCTTTCAATTAATAGTGTTCAATAAACAAACTTAGTTCTTCAGTTAATTAGGTAATTCAAAAGAAAATTTGTATTTGTATTAGTGAAGTTGAAAAAATATAAGAAAATATATTCTCTAATCACACAACATGATAAGATATTTATTTCAATATTCTTAACAACTTCTTGATTAAAAAACATATGTCAAAAAACACTTAAGTAAGGGGTGATCGATTTCAATTGGACACTACAATCGAAATCGACCACCACTTAACATCTTTATCTTATTAATCTGTGTATACTGTCTTGTGAGTCAACAGAATAAGTGTAAAGATATTACTATAAGTTATTTGACGTATTTTATGTGCTTTCGTTGAAATATGCTTAACCTTATATTGTCTTTATCTTATATTTATTATTGTTTGATTTATTATAGACTACTCAATTTGCATTTGCTGGGTCTTCATGGCCACTAAAGTACACTGCAACACACTGACATGCGCATTCAAAAAGGGATATTAAAACATAACGTAGGCTAATTCAATCATGTAGGCAGTTAATATATACTGCTTAAACAAGCGTAAACCCCACTGTATATTAATGAACCTCATAATACCATTCAGTAGACCACAAAAGTATTTTTTACTTTCTCCCCCTATACATACTCGTATACTATAGAGAAAGTATTGTTTTCGTCAAAATTTTAGAGTTTGAGTTTTGAGGGGATATGATTTTTCTATTTTTTATTTTCTATAATCTATGTGGGGATATAAAATGCATCTAATGATTGATATACTTAACACATATTTGTACTCGTATTTGTTCCAGAAATACCTCCTCCAGCAATCAAACCATTTCCAAACTCAAACATATCCGACGAACTTAGTAACTTCATTTATAAAGGTAAAGATATTGGACTTTTTCACATTTACCCTATGTACACTTATAGAACCCGTCCATCTCATGTACTTTAGAACGTATTTTAGTTAGGGGTGTTTTAAGTACTGTAATTTGTTTCCAATTTTAATGATAAAAATAATAATTTTTTCGTAAATACTATTCATAATTACTTAAATTTTATCAAGGTTTTATAATAAAACTGTGACCCCAGGCCCTTTTATCTTTTAATCAACTTTCGTTTCAAGATATAGAATGGAATTTTCAAATATTGTGCGATTCACGTATTTAATACAATCGTTAAATATAAAGACTGATTGAAGAGTTATAGTAAACTATAATATACGGTTATTTAAGTAAATAAACAAATAAAGCATTACATTTATTATTTCCTTAGGTCGAGGAAGGTTGCCTGTAAGTGACGAACTAAGTAACAACGCCATCAGTGACTACCAGTGGCAAGAGTCTGGTATGTTATATACAAACTATTATAACTTATAATATAATATAACTTCTGGTTTATTACATCCACCAGAATGGACATTGTTGTAATTTAAACTATTCTCTGACATCAACGTTTATGTAGCGATTGCCTGTCTTTTATGGTCGATTCACACACATCAGTTATGGCACGTTGCAGTCCAGTCACTTCAAGCACGTCACAGTTAACCAAATTATTCGTTAATGGATTTTCTATTGTGCTATCTACACTTATCCGGCGCAGTTCCGTCAGTCACTCTGTCGGCATCCGTCAGTCAATTTCAAATTTATTTTCACCGATAGTTTTGGATTGTTTGGACGCCTGACGTATGTGTTTGAGGTTACATAGTACCTTTTTTATATTTAAATGAACGAGTTTATATTTTAAGTAATGTTTGTAACAATCAACAAGACAGACGATGAAAATTTAATAGAATATTGTGTTTGAATTAAACATTTTTGACTGTAACAACACTGTTAATAAAGTGACGGAAGAGTGACTGAAACCAAATGACTGGGTTGACTGAAAAATTGCGGATGCAACTGTGTCTGGACTGTGACCAGACTGATATGTGTGAATCAACCTTTAAGGTTATACATTATATAGACCGTTCCGTCTACAAAAGCCACGCATGACAAATTCAAGACAATAATAATAATATTACTGCCAGAAGGTCTTTAATTAACATTTTTTTTCGATGAGCTTTCTTGTACGACCAATTTTGGATCGAGTACATACGCCATTTATTGTTTGAGTACTTATTTAACATCACACAAAGTCCAAAAACTTAAGATTTGTTCAGCAAGTTTCTTTTATCGTGATGTAAAATCAGTTCTATTGTCACTCGAGGCAATAACTTTGATGTATATCATATCATTTTACTGCATCATTTTACAAACTAAAATGCATCATTTTACTGCATCATTTAACAAACTAAAATGTGTATTCAGAGTATGGAGAGCTCGGTTACGTCCCTCCGTCTCCAAGGGCTCCTATGCTAGGTACAAACGCCGGCAGTGGTCCTGCACTGTCCTGTCGTCTGCTACTGCTGCTGGTGCTTATCAGCTGACTATAGACCAATCAGCTGTTCTCAGTCATCCGCATTGCACATGGGATATAATAATGATACAATATTTAGGTAATGTGTAAATAGCGTACTTGTAAATGCTGTGTTGCTAAATTTAAGTTTACAAAATATCTTATGTAAGGTACAATGCTAAATAGATAAAAAAAAACGGGCAGTTAACGGGCAGTTAACGGACAGCGTCCACTGAGCCAGAAAGCCAGGTAGCAAACGTCTTTTGAGCCCGGTCTAAATTAGGGTCTCCCAAAACGAGCACCCACTGAGCTCGTTGACTGTCTATTTGTAGTTTTATAACAGGATTGTAGCGAATGTTTGTAAGGTCAAAATTAACGCCCTAATTGGACCCCTGGATCAGCCGTTCCAAAACTACCTAGTCCCTTTTGCTCGTTTTATCACCCTAGACTTTTTCAATCCTTGGATTCCTGGCTCAGTTAACGTTAACCTCTTGTTATTTGTTGAATTATTCAAAGAAATCGTTGAGAAAGCTATTGGCTCTATGAATCTGTACTATTGCAAATATGTTTTAGTTTATAAAACCATGTTTGAAAGTACTGAGTGTGTACCGTAAAATAAATAGTTATAAAAGAAAACTAGTAAATTACCAAAGTATTCAGCTTCCTACTAACTTCATTCAAAATGTATATCTCACTCAATTTATGTTATAACTTTGTGTCATTACATCCGTTTCAGATGGGTAATTTTTCATATCAATAAACTTCCTCTTTAAAAAACTATTACAGTGGATTAAAATTAATACTGTAACTCCATAACACATTTTCATTTATTTGCTTTAGCTTTTGTTTATGTAGCTTTCTTTTCTTACAATGGTGCTGTTGAACCTTATCAAAACAATACTTCATTACTTATTGTTGACAAATGAGTTCTACATAATGTCCAAGGGTTAAAAATATTATAAAAACAAATCTAATGTTTGCTATTAATAATAGTTCATAGATAAGTTTACCTAAAAAAAAATATAAAGTCATATTAGATTTACCTTCTTGTAGGTAAGACTTTTAGGTCACCCTACCCAGTTCATTCTCTTGCTTTAGTGTGGCATCTTTAGGGGTCTTCTTAAATCACTTTATCACTATCTTATAATATACCATTTACTATAGTGTGAGTGATAAGTATATGAATTATAAGACTCCTGGAGATGCCAAACTCAAGTTCTCGAAACTGAGATGGAAAAAATTAAAGTCTGTTTTCTAAATAATACAATACGAGAAAGTTACAGATCAGTGTTAAATGGTGCTTCATTGTTTCCTATTTCAATCAATAGTGCTTACTTATAGAAATATATTGTATTTCATTGTATTTTACTTAATGAGTGCCATATGTACATATTACTTGTTCTATTCAAATGTTTAACTGGTTTTCGTTTAAACTTCCAGCAAATAAAAATCTACTCCTCAAGATTACGTTTGCCTTATTATAACTATATTTAAAACAATCATTACTCGCAAACTTTCATTTTATTGAAAAATTTCTGGGTTCCAAAAACTATAGATTTGTTCTAAAAGTTTTTTTTATATCGTGCCATGAAATCAGTTAAAAATCCGCTGTGCTGTAATTTTGTAGAATTTTAAACAGACTTTAGTTATATTACAACCCTTTTTATACCATCATTGATTAGCAATATTTATTCAGCCAAATTAAGCTCTATATTTACTAGTAAAAGCTGAAAATGTAAAGTTGATACTATTAAAGTTAAGTATATTTAAACTATAGATGAATAAATTGAATTGAAACCTATCGTTGGGTTAGTCATGAAACTGGCCATCGTGTATATAATATATTCAAAGTTGTTAAGCTACTAGCTTTATACAAAATGTATTTCATCGCTTTTTAAAGCAATAAACTTACTGTTGTAAATAAATGTTTGACAACTTGTGATATATTGTACAGCTAGATGTTAGAACAAATATGCGTCCTACAATAGGTTACTAACTATTAGTTATGGTGTAGTATTTTGTGTATGCTATTGTAAAATGATTGTAAAAAAATGTAAATATGAAAATATAAAAGCCTTCTCTAAAATAGTGTAAATTTGTTCCCCAAGTCATTATAGTAACAAATCCAAGATAATCGAAATAGCTATTTCAATAAATACTTATTCACTACTAAGGAGCGGTTACATAACATGCTATAAGTTTCAGGCAGTTATCATTAATGTGGTGTCAACTGGTTATTTCATTTTATAGAAATGGAAAATTTTTGCTGCTATCGCTTTCTGTTGTAAAAACGTGGGTAAGTAGGTAACTAGTATTTTATAATAGTAATGCGACAATAATGAGACACCGTACTGTGGAGGATTATGAATTATAAACTTTGTTATCTGATAAATATTCCAATAGAACTTGAAGTTTAAATTGAACTTGGCAGTAATGCAAGTTCTATTTTACTAAAAGGGTTTATAGGGAACTCTAGATACATTGCTTTACGAATACTTTTCAAAAATGTTAATTCCACCAAATAGCCTGTGAATAAACAGTATTTCCAACAGAGACTGTACTACAGCCAATATCAACACAATGGCAACAATGGTGTTTAGCAGGAGTGTATCGCCTAATGGCCAATGTATACACACTGGAGTGTGTAAACTGCACCAGGCTGCCATTGACAAAATCTAAATGAGGAAACCTTTTGAACCGTTTGGAGAATAAAAGCAACTGAACAAAGAGACCAGACCTAAAATAGGAATCATTTAGAAATTGTGACCGTTCTATGGATTATGATACATATTGAACAGTTACCAAAACCTTTATCAATATGAGATAGGGTACATAATATTTACAGCTTGTTTACATATAAATAATTTTTAGAGTATAATTTTTCAATTACACAAGGCGAGTTTTGTTTTGTGTGGCTCTTGTATAGACATTATACAGCTAGTAAACTAGCCGCAGTCTGCTCGCCACACTCACAAGATGGGTGTCATTTCAAAGGTTCTGGAAAGAGTTGGATCTGCCGGCGACTTTACATGCCTAATACTGGATGTCAAGCAAAATATATCACAAAACCCTCCAAATGTATTTACAGTTATATATAAACAAGTTTACGAATAAGATTAGTCTTGATGACGTCGGAGCAATAGGTTAATAGCGAGAGTTTAATTTCATACTCTTTGACAAACCTGCTTTTAACTCGAGGGCTCGTGGATTGTAAATTTGCCCTTTTAAATGAAGCCTTAAAAGTGTATCAAGATAGTTTTAACTTTGAAAATATCAGTAATTATTAAGAGTTTTTTTAAATAGTCTGCAAAATCACCTAAACGGTGAGTGTAGGCTTGTTTTCTTCTCAATAACCTGTGTTGTGGCATAGTCAGCTGGACAACAATGGATCTGTCTACACCAGCTGTGTACGACATTTGACTGCCCAAACATTAAACTGACCTCAGTATCAAAACGGCTAGTGTGGAAGAAAAAAATTTGTGTTGCTTGGTTTCATAAAAGCTGATCTGTAATAACTGTTCGAAGGTTTTGTTTAGGGTATGGCCGTTATTCTCTGTGTAACAATATTGTATAAAACGGTGGTACAGGCAGTTTTAACTGATAGTGTAGAACAAAGAAAATGTGCTGGTAAACCTCTCCAGTGGTGAGGTCGAGGTCTAAGTAGTTGAAATCAGACAACCAGCTTTACGTTGAACCATGAAGAGCACTTGGAAATAGTTTATTTAGTTTGTTTGGAATTATGTAACAGTAATCTTTTTCTCATTATTATGATAAACACTGTATTAAATTTGCTATTCAATAAAACAATTCCCTTGTTTCTAAGTTACTTGATTATTTAAAAATGTATTCTTACAATGTGTCCAATAATTAATGACCACTCTGAATATCTGAAATTTACGGTGAAATTTCAACATCTAACATTCCTTTCCATTTAAGTTATGTTATATTCATATACTGATCTCATACTTACACATTCATAACCAATATCTTTGATGGATATCTCAATGTAATGTATTGAAGGAAATATGTCATGATCGTGAAAGAAGGAAGGGCTTGAGAAATGGTTTGCAAACGTGTTATTTGTTATATGACTACAAGATATTGGCTGCGTGTAGTTTGCAAATTATACCATCTAGGAAAAATGTCTTTATTACACAAAGGCTCATTACGTGCTAACTTGCCGTTTTACTTGTAACAAATATAATTTTATGTACAATCTGAGTCCGTTTCTTTCATGTTTGATTAAAACAGGTTCCACCATTTACAGTCAGAGAGTTGATTGATGGTTTTTGCTGAATTAAGTTGGAAAGTTTCGTTTTAAAATCTAAAAAGTGCCCAATGAACGTTGTAAAATAAATTAAAAGGATTTTTATTTTTATTTTTTTCAAATAAAGAGTTTTAACACCAAAATGCCTGATTGGTTGAATTTGGAAAATATTGTTCACTTGTTGCAAATATATTTGTATTCCATATTGTGTTTTCCATATTTTCATGTTGTCGATTTTGTATTTCTTTAAAGAGGCCAAAAAGCGTGACAGTGAGAGATCGAAACAGGGATAACTATGTTCCGTCAAAGTTTCAGCCAAGCCACACATAGTCAGTAAGATTCAGCCACTCCTGGGAGACAATAAACAGGGTGCGTGATCTATGCGGCAATGTGCATTATCTAAATCGAATCAGGAACATACGTCTCACATTACAGTTTTCGTTAGGATACAATGTTCTGTGACAGTTTCAGCCAAGCCACACAGAGACAGTAAGATTCAGCCACTCCTGGGAGACAATAAACAGGGTGCAAGATCTATGCGGCAATGGGCATTATCTAAATCGAATCAGGAACATACGTCTCGAATTCTTTGTGTGGCTTGGATAAAACTTTCACAGAACACTGTATCTTAACAAATACTGTAATGTGAGATGTATGTTCCTGATTCGATTTAGATAATGCACATTGCCGCATAGATCACGCACCCTGTTTATTGTCTCCCATGAGTGTGGCTGAATCTTACTGACTCTGTGTGGCTTGGCTGAGACTTTCACAGAACATTGTATCCTAACAAATGTTGTAATGTGAGATGTATGTTCCTGATTCGATTTAGATAATGCACATTGCCGCATAGATCGCGCAGTCTGTTTATTGTCTCCCAGGAGTTTGGCTGAATCTTACTGACTCTG